TAATATATATTTCACATAATTGGCATTTCCTACTTCAAAGGATGGAAGAAAATAATTTGAAATGGAAGAGATCCCTGGGTTGCCACAAGGTTTTCGCATGTATCAGAAGTTTAGCTTTTTACTTTGGGATTTGTGGATATTACAGTGTATTGTAAATGTACCCATTATTTATTTTGCTCATGTTTAAGTAGGGAGCTACATCTTATGAAATGTTATCATTTTACAACAGGCCTTGACCCAGGAAATCATCAAAACTATTCGAGACATCATAGCCCTGAATCCCCTCTACCGTGAAAGTGTACAGCAGATGATACAGCACGGACAGCGTGTTGTGGACAACCCTGTTTACTTGGCTGATTTGGCTGCCTCACTCACATCAGCAAACTCTGTTGAACTGCAGCAGGTCCTGGAGGAAACTAAGGTGAGAGGGCTGCAAAAGCAGAGAAAGGCTGGCTGTAATAGCGCAGACATGTGTTGATTGAGGAAGTAAAGATATAAAGAATGTCTTTGAATTATTTAATTTTTTAAATATATTTTTGGTTTGTTTGCTTTTAATAAAAAAGAAGCTGTATATAAGATCATTCAGACAGAACTTATATTTTTTGTTGGCAAGATGTTGTTTTTCAAAAGATTAGTTTTTCCCCCCCAGATCCCTGCAAGATTGATGCTGGCTCTGTCATTGCTCAAGAAGGAATATGAGTTGAGCAAACTCCAGGCCTCTATTGCCAAGGTAAGTAGTGGGTAACTCCTAATTTTTTGGTTAGTAGAGAAACTAATATCATCTATTGATCAAAGGTTTATTTATTGTTATTATCTGAATGTTATCAGTATCAGATGAGGGGTTATTGTGTGTACATTATAGTCTGATTGTGTGTGTTATAGGAAGTAGAGGAGAAGGTAAGATCGCAGCACCGGAAGTACATGTTACAAGAGCAGCTGAAGGTTATCAAGAAGGAGCTCGGCATAGAGAAAGAAGACAAGGATGCTATCGAGGAAAAATTCAGAGCAAGATTAAAGGTTTGTTTTGAATTTGCAGTGTTTGTATCCATTTATGTATCTTTACAAATGTCTTGCTGGAACGATTTATACTCACTAGGAGGCTAATCAATGACAACCATTTATTTTTCTAGGATAAAGAAGTACCGAAAGCAGTCCAGGATGTGATAGATGAAGAACTCAATAAACTTAGCTTTCTAGACAACCATTCATCTGAATTTAATGTTACAAGAAACTACCTCGATTGGCTGACTATGCTGCCATGGGGCATCACCTCTAAGGAGAACTTAGAGCTGAAAGAAGCTCGGGACATCCTTGATGAGGACCACTATGGCATGCAGGATGTGAAGAAAAGAATCTTAGGTAATGATCCCTTTGAGAAAAGAAATATTAGATTGTCATATTAAAATTAGATGTTGTGATTGAATATTACTTAAAGTTTTTAAGTATGTCTCTTTTGTTGGTAACAGAGTTCATTGCGGTTGCTCAGCTTCGAGGAAGCACTCAAGGAAAGATTCTCTGCTTCTATGGTCCACCGGGTGTTGGGAAGACCAGCATAGCACGGTCCATTGCAAGAGCACTTAATAGAGAGGTAAGTTTGACTTGTCTTTTATTGCTACATCATTTTGAACAATGCAGGTTTATTTTATTTATGATTCCTATCCCTGCTCTTTTGAACTATTAACCAGATTTAACAGTACAATGGGAAAGTCTATGGGAAAGGCATGATTCATATCCTCTTTCACATGTCTTGGATGTTTCATTGATAGGAATGAAACCCTTGAGTGGTATTAGTGTTTATAAAATCATAGACACATCAGGTGATATTTTTTCTTTCATGGGTACCCTTAACTTGAAACTTCTCACACTTTATTCAAAGGAGTATGATATTCCAGTTTCATAATGTTCCCCATACATTTAACATTACATTTTTATTTTTATTGTTATATCTTTTTCACAAGTATAAAGCAGGGGTACTCAAAATCCCCAGGGTTGATAGAAGCATCCAAGGGATCAGTGACCTACTAGGGGGTCGGAAGAGGACCGGCCAGGGGCACACAAAAAAAATAATAATAAATAAAATAAATAAAAGGAATGGTCAAATTTAAAGGTGTTGAAAAATAGCTGGACCTTAACAAAGGAGTCAAATAATAGACAAGTCTTTCAAAGAATCAATAGTTTTTAGGGTCCCTGCAGGTTTGTAGAGGTTCACTCATTTCCTTGTTTTCTAAAACCTAATTTTGATATCCAGGGATAGTTAAATACTCTTATACACTTTTATCTGCACATTTGTTCATCTGCACTTGGTATGAATGTTTGTGTAAAAGTGAGAACAATATTTGAATAAGGGTCCTTAGTTTGATTTTATGATGATATGTACTAAATTACACTGATGTATGAGTTGACTTGTATATAATTTGGGATTGATAGTTAATGAAGTAGTTGAAGCTTCATTTGATGGCGTGCAAGGTATGAGAACCCTTGATGTAGAGAATTTTGAATATTAGCACATTTTCAAAAATGCTTACTTGTGTTGATATTAGGAAGTTATTCAATATTTCTTACAAGTATCCCAGATGTTTCTACCCTTCAAGAGACAAATTTGCATAGTGTTTTTACACAGTATCCAGTATTGTCTTATGTGTCAGTAGTAGTAACTGTAATAAAATTTCCATCATCATTCTAATAGATTTTTTCCTCAGTACTTCAGGTTCAGTGTCGGTGGCATGACAGATGTGGCAGAAATCAAGGGTCACCGAAGGACATACGTGGGGGCCATGCCAGGAAAGATGATACAGGTAGGAATTATGCACCCACTGAAAGATTCACATTTTGCACAATTGTCATTTAGCGTAAGTACAGAGTTCCCTTTTGCATACTCTGTTCCTTACAAGTATTTGACTTTCTTTTCAAAGTGCCTGAAGAAAACAAAAACAGAGAACCCAGTGGTGTTGATTGATGAAGTGGACAAGATCGGTCGTGGTTATCAAGGTGATCCTTCAGCTGCCCTTCTGGAACTCCTGGACCCTGAGCAGAACGCCAATTTCCTCGACCATTACCTGGATGTCAACGTTGATTTGTCTAAGGTGAGAGGACTTTGGCCTTTTTGTCAGAAAAAGAAAAAAATCTTTTATCCTTGGTTATTTTGTATATTACTATCACATGTTGAATTGGTGTTTTTTTTATTATTTTAAATTTGATAATTTTATAAATGCAATAGCAAGCACCAGTATAAAAAATAACAAGAAAGGAGTTTTCTTCATAGTTATTGCATAATATCTTCAAAAGATACATTTTCTTTTATTTGTGAAAACTGAGTCAGTCTTTCTAGCATTTTTATGTGAAATTTATTGATATCAAATCAATATGAGGATATCATGATTTAAAACACAATTAATGATTTTTTTTTCTTCTCTATTGTAGGTGTTGTTCATCTGCACAGCCAATGTTTTAGACACCATTCCAGAACCCTTGCGAGACAGGATGGAGATGATTGACGTATCAGGCTATGTAGCGGAGGAAAAGATGTCTATTGCTAACAAATACCTCATTCCACAAGCTCAGAAACTCTGTGGCATTACCTCTGAAAAGGTTAGGGGAGAAGTTCTGTAAAAGATATTAATAGTCGTTGGAAATTAAAGCTCTGTTTAAGAACAGTGAAGGAAAGTTAGATGGCAGTGAAATTTATTGCAGATGATTTATTTCATTATGAATGTGAGAAAAATTTCAGTCTCGGTTTGATTAGTTTCATTCTGTAAGCAAGAGAATGAGACAAACCATTCATGAATTTACACTATTCAGTTTTAGAACACCATTCATCAAAATATTTGTGAAATCAGTTATTATTATAGGCTTTTTTTAAGTAATATGTATCCTTACTGATTGTTTAATGCCAACAGCTTACTCTGCACGACACTGCCATCGATAGACTCATCCGCCAGTATTGCCGTGAATCCGGAGTACGTAACCTTCAAAAGCACATAGACAGGATTATGCGTAGAGCAGCTTACAACATTGCGAGTGGAGAGGCAGACACTGTAGAAGTAAACAATGACAATTTGGAGTTGTTTGTTGGAAAGCCAAAATTCAGCCATGACCGGATGTATCAGGAAACACCAGCTGGTGTCGTCATGGGTTTGGCCTGGACTGCAATGGGTAAGGAGCCTTTGTTTTGTGATTGGAGATGTATAAACTAATGGATATCTGTATTTAAGAATTTAAATTTAGTATTATGTACTTGCCAGTTCAGCTATCATGACATGGTTTCAAATGGTCTGCTTATAATGTGAAATGCATTTATGTAATAAGTGTAAAAGGAGAGGACATTAGGATAAGTTTGCATGATGTAGAACTTTTTGTTACTTTAAGCTTGATCTGGAAGTTTTTATTTCACTTGTTGAGTCATTGGGATATTTTTTCTTTTCTCTCTTTCTTTCCTCCCTTGCAGTGATATCTACAACTTGTTCCCTTTTCATCCACTTTCAGGGGGATCCACTCTTTACATTGAAACAACTGCCTGGCCGCTGGATGGAGACAAAGAGGGACGATTTGAAACAACAGGTCATCTCGGAGACGTTATGAAGGAATCAACACGCATTGCATATACTTACGCAAAACACTTCCTCTCTGAGAAGTTTCCTGATAATAAAACACTTATCCAGTCAAATGTTCACCTACACGTTCCAGAGGTAAGTTATGTACTTGATGTCGCTATAATGTTCTCGAGATTTATTCATAAGATAGCCACCATACTAATGTAGGTCAGACACATAGAAGTTGGTAGATCTGACGTGGTAGCATGTCTTGTGGCTTTTTTTTTTTTTTTTTTTTTTTTTTTTTTTTTTTTTTTTTTTTTTCTTCCAAGTCACAGTTCCTTGGAATTATGATTAATTAACAACTAACTCAAAAAACAGGCACACAAAAATGTAAATAAACTGTGAAAGTTTGTTGTAATTCACAAAGTTCAAAGTAATTGTATTGCAGTGTTCTCTTTTTTTGAAGTA